TAACTGGATGACTGACTAATTTTGAGAAATGTAGACCATTACTTTATTTGATATATAACTTATTATATTTTTTCTTAGCAAAGTGATCGGCAAAAATATTAATAAAAATAGCTATAAGTGCTTTACATATTTGCTTGTGCCTTACAGTCAGCCAATGCATGAAGGCCAGTCTGGTGCGACAGCTGTTAAGTTGCTAAAGCATAAATAAACTAGGACGGGTTCCTGATTCTCGTTAAAGCTTGTGAAGTGCATATATGATGTAATCGTAATACACTACCAATCATCTGTGTGACTATCTACTTGTATGACAACATAATTTCACACATAAATCAATCCCTCACAAAATATTTTATTTTTTTTTCTCTTACAATGTTCTAGAAAAATAATATATTAACTGATATGTATATTTGCTCGCTTCCGGTTGAGAGACATACTATTTCTACTATTATGAGGTTTCCCCATTCTGACTGAAATACATTATATAATGTTGCCAGGTCATAGTTTAAGTAGACGGATGAAAATATATATGCATTATCCCCAACGCCTTTCTAAATATCGAGATCATCAATGCGCACCCTATATGCCCTTATTTTTGAACACAAAATTTTGGCGTAAAAGCATTGCATATTCTTCTGCTTCGACAGAGAGATGTGAATGAGGAAATACAAATATTAAAAGGGCAGTACAGTGAAATTATTACGCCTTTACGTTATTTTTTCTTTGCTTAGCAAGCTTTATACTAACATTCAACTTTTATTTTATCAAAATATGGAAGAATTCCTTTTAACAAGAGAACCCCTTGATATTGTCAGAATTTCCACAGCGCTATTTGTACGAGTGGAGCAAGGTGAATGGACAGGCGTTCTTGAAAAGGAGGTGAAGAACTTTGACAATGTTTTGGAGCGAGTTTTGGAACGAGCCCCCTCGGAGGATATTGAGCGGATAAAGAAGCTTCGAAGTTTTGATACCGGAAAAAAATTGGCGAAACGAGTAAGGCGATAAACTATTTTTTCATGATGAATATGTGGATATGATGTATTTTTTTAGGTTTTCTCGCATATATATATATATATTAGTGAATGCGATGTGTCCGTCGTGATGCTATCACTTCTGCATGGCAGTAACTATGTTTATATATATGCCCAGCGAGTGCGCTTTTTGGCTGACTTACTGCTAGCATTTTGATATTTTTTTTATGAAAACGAAAACCTAATCTGATCCTGCATAGGAATATTCCACTTTAATCTATCACAATAATATTAAGCCTAAGTCAAGTTAACTATATTTAGGTAGCAACTGCGTTCGAAGATTTATGCTCTCTTACAGTGATGAAAGCTCTGGTAATTGATGCTGAAACATGGCCTAATGACACGAATGCAAATTTAGAACTTTTAATATGTGATGTTGATCAGCTTAAAAGTAAAAGTATCGGCTATGAAAAAACTATGTAGGAAAGGATTGGTACAGAATTAGAGAAAGTAAATGTCGAGACTCTTGGATTTGATCATCCAATATGCTCTGAAGTACTTGATATTAAATCAGAACCCTTCACAGAGATGCTTGAATCACTTTGTGATGTTTTTAAAGAACCTTCAAGAAATACAGGTTAGACTATAAGGCAAATACTAGAGTCTTTGTAAGTTTATTTTTTTGTTTGAGATTTCGTCTAATAATATACTATTGCTCATGAATAATGTATGAATGGGCGAAATATTTTGTAGGAATAAAGTTTGGAAATTGCTTAAATATGACGCCTATACAAAGAAAGGAAAACCGGTTAATGAAGGATCATATGTCTGCGAAATACTTGCGTCACTAATAAATATAGTAATGAGTGATTTACCTGGAAATCCTATTGTATGGGATATATGGTAAGCTTATCAAAGGCGCTGTGTATGAATATACCTCTTTTTCTACTACACTATTCACTCATTAGATAATTAATATAATTTTCCAAATAGGGGCAAAGAAGGAAGTTCAGCTAGTACTATAAGAAAAGAATCTCGAAAATTTGCACGGAAACCTAATTATATGACTATAGTGCAACTAGAGAAAGGTGCAGAGCTTGAAGTTGTATACCTCGAAACTGGCAGGTCAGATTCCAGTCAAGACAAGCGCCAGCGAGATCACAAAAAATTAGTACGATTTTCTAAAGATTCTATTGACACTACTAGAAAAATATCAAAGCTTAAGAGGGTATTTAATATTTCATCTAAGAGGCAGATGTTATCTATATTTGCTATAAACATTGCAGGTAATGCATTATGCGAAAGCGCCTATAACTATTTTTTTTTCACATTTCAATCTTGTATTATAAATCAATAATTCTTAACCACATTGCTTTCAAACATTTTAGGCGACGTTATGGAACTATATGTCATGCGTAGAGAATCTGGTATTTACAAATACTGTCTAATAGAGGAAGCACCGATTCCACTACATATGACTTCACCAAGTGCTATATACCCTCTTATCCATACTTTGATGACATTAAGAACAGCCGTCGCAAGCACAATTCATAAAATATTGCATAGTACCGATTTTGGAGATAGTGAACATAGTTCTGGCGAAATGACAATAACTGTTTCGACTCCAAAAAATCCATAGAATAGGAATCTATTTCATACATATAATTTTATATACTCCGTGGCTAAGGTTTATGGTTGGGTTATAATAATAAAAAATATTTCCTAAACAAAAGTGATGACTCTGGCGGTCAATTTCGCAAATATATATTCATGTTTTTTGCTGATCGTTTTCTGAGGAAACGGTTTTTGTATGTGGCATATATCAGATAATAAAATTTTCTACCGAGACAATGGCCCGATCTGGAAATTTGATGACATCATAACCTATCATCTTTTCTCAAGTGGGACTTTAGGTCTCACTTTTCCCGAAGTCACATGATTTTTTTGCTGACCATTGGTCAGGATGTCACGTGAAATTCTTGATCAGAGCTAATATTTCTAGCTGATCTGCTAGATGTGTTATGAAACTGACGCGTGAATTATTAATAAAATAAACCATTTCATTGCTATGACCTAATGGGTATATTTTTGCACGCAAACTTTTTTTTGCGCAAAACTATATCTAATAAAATGTTCCATTCTTATCTTCAGGAGAAAAGCTTTCCAATTAATTTTATATATCAACTCTAAAAAATATTTCACTAAACAGTTGTTTTATCTCCCGCAGTACCAAAGGTATAAGGGGGTATATTCATTCGAAAAAAGATCCACGTGATTTTGACCGGGGCGCCCCGGCTAAAATTTGCCAAAAAAAGGGAAAGGCTATCTCTCACAGATCATATTTACCTGCGTCTTGCCCATAAATTAGATCCTCGTTAAAGTGTATATGATGTAATATGTGATACACCGCAAATCATCTGTAACTCTGTGTGACTGTTTGTACGACAAATTAATTTTCACACAAGAAATCCTCAAATTTTTTTTTCGTCAACAAAATTTCTAAACCATCGTCTATATTTGCTTCTCCACGCTCTGATGGCATCACAAAGTATACCTACGCCTGTATGTGACCTGGCCAATTATTTATATTTATATTGGACTCCTGCAGCCGATGTTTGGAAGAGGGACTTGCAACGCCTACTAGGACTCATTACAGTTGTAATCCCCTAGATAGATTCGTTGCAACAGACTCTTTCCAGTATATTAGACTTAAACGAGTTTCCTATGTCCGTACGTGACCTGGCCATTATATGGATTCCTGCGGCCAATGTTTGGAAGAGGGACTTGCAACGCCTACTAGGACTCATTACAGTTGTAATCCCCTTAGATAGATTCGTTGCAACAGACTCTTTCCAGAAACTCATTTTTGTCAATGCCATTACCATGATTTTCTTATAGTTAATGTTTACAATATCATATTTCTTAATGACTAAATTGTTCTAAATTTTTTTATAGTTAGATATTTCAAGCGGGATTTCTTCCTATTTCAGTAACACAGAGTTCGAAGCCTAGGGTTATATGGGTTGTCTTGAATATTTAGCAAAAGTATGCGTGCACTTGACATCAGAAGATCGTGACGAAATTCTTGGCAAGTATAGGAATCATCTGCGTTCAATATTCACGTCAACATCAACACTTAAAAAAGCAAAAGACAAAGCCTGTAAGCTGAATGATGCTGCGGAACGTTCATTTCAACGCGTAGAAGTTACCTCATTTTTTAAAAGAATTGATACACAGGTACGTTAATTGATCGTCGTTAAATTTGTGTGTATGTACATATAATTATGTAGACCAACTTATTTGACAGGTTGACACGAATGCAACCGAAGGTCTTGTAAATGCCACCGAAACTCTCGTGAACGCCAAAGAAAATTTATATGAATCGAAACTGAAGGCACGTGCGTATGACAGATATATAGAAAATACGGATGAAAATGATCGTTCATCCAAACGCCTTAGACAAGAGACAATAATTTCAGAAGAGGACAAAAAACAAGTATATAGTATCTTTTGTTATTTTTTTTGGTAAAATGTTTTTATTTGATAGTAAGCGGTTGAGCTTTTCTCTTTCTAGCCTGACGCAAATACAATACTCAAAGCAGATGATGATAATTTTGATGGTACGTTAAATTAATGTAATTTGTAAACATTATGGTTCCTTTATAAATAATTATATCAATTAAAGAGCGAAAAGATGACAATGAAGATAAAGATACAGAAAGAGTCGAAGAGGAATCACATTCATCCAACTATGTTATGGATATCTTTTCCGAGTCGTGTTCTCGGCAACAAACGTCAAGTGATTCGTTCTTATTAACTCTTTTAGAGAATTATTGTGCCAAAGAAACAACCTCACTTTACAAGTAACTGTTGTAGTAATTGGTTAATGATATCTTGACTACCGCTCACTTTCCATTTATTTTTTTTAGCCCAGCACACAGTTTTATTATAGATCTGTCTCCGCCTTCAAAAATAAAAGGTGAATTTAACGATAAGCAGTGGGCTGAGTTAGTCAGAAGAAGACCTGATGCGGTCCGGAAGACTTACCATCACGAGATCGAGCCTATTATCGCCCACTTGTTTGGACAAAAAGTAAGGATTTTCGAGTTAGAAAGTAAACTTGGTCTTATCGTTGATTTTTTCCTTATTTTAGACGGATCTATCACAAGCTCGTAAAAGATGGTACGAACTTAGAAATTTGACTGCTCCTATGTATGACGATAGTTTCTCATATGCAGAGGTTGATTGGGAAAAAATAAAGCGTTGGGTAGAACGAGTAACGGGACAATTGTACGTTGTTAGACTCATTATTTATCGCGCAATATGACAAATTTTTGTTATGATGCAATCGTTTTTTTTGTTTTATCATTATAGTCTAGACGCATTTGAGTCCCTTCGAAATCCGCTACAAAATGACTGTCATGAACGAGAGTGGACTGGCGACTATATCATTCCTTTAATACAAGGAGCTCTGAAATTAGATGGAAATTTTTATGTCCCATGGTAAGTTGCGAATCTCTTCATTTATTGTACAGTACATGTGCATAACTTATGATTTTCCCTTGTTTCTGATTTTGTTAAGGGGAGAGATTTCTGTCCTCGCAACCCAACGCCGTCGAAATAATGACAAGGATATACTTACCGAACAAGTTGAGCGAAGTCATCAGGTGGATCTCTTATGTAATTATGAGCAATACGAGGTTGCTTGCGCGCTTGCTTGCGGTGGACCATATACCTACGATCTAACTAAACTCGCCTCAGATGAATTTAACCTTCCAAGAATTATGAAGGATATGCTCGATGACTTAGAATTAAAACTCCTATATGCCGGAAAGAACGGATTGCATCCATATATTCTTGGGATCCAGGTGCGATGATTACTCATACGTGGATATATGTAAAGAGGAGTAGTACTTACATGCTTCGTTTATATTTGCTCAGACATATGACAGAGGTTCGAATCTACCTGATGGAGAAACGTGAGGTATATTTCCTCCATCATCTAAAATCATTTAATCTTCCGCTTACATTTTCAGCTTACCACTATTTGAAATCTGCTTTAAGAGTGGCATGGAACATTCGGGTGAGTCTTGATTTTTTTTATACCAGAATAATGTCACTGGAAATATCTGACTATCATTTCATTAATAATTACAAGGCTTGATTAACTCCTTGGTTCGGGAATTCGATACTGTTGATGATGATGGGTTTAAAACTCCCCCCGTAACATCATCAGATAATAAGAAGACTCAGCAAACGCCATCAAAACAACCAAAGAAAAAGAAAGCAAAAGATTAGAGAACTGATTAGTTTTATTAACGAGTGCAAGTATTGAGCGATCATTGTATTTAGTATAGTAACTATAATTTACTTGGATAATTAGTTATTATTAATGGAGGTGTTACATTGTTAGTATCATATACTGTAAATACACGTGTGTGTATCGGATAAATAAATTTTAATACAAATTGGCATTACAAAAAAGTGCATTCGAATTTTTAAATCCTTAGACTTTTTAATACAAAAATAATATAAAAAAGTTTCGTTAGCGCAATATGCAATTGATCATAAGCATTTAAAGTTTCGAGTTTACTCAATTAGACCCAATTCTCGAAGATGCTTTGGAATAACTACATATGGGTCTTCGTAATACCAAACATACCTTAAGGCAACCTGGTTTTCTTCGCATAATTCTTTCTTGAGTTGATCCCGTGCTTGCTGTTTGATAAAATTATTGGGATCGCCTCTATGAAAGAACTTGTTAAATTTTTCATGCTGTTCTCCTTGCACTTCGATAGC